GCTAGGAAGGAGAGAAAGGATCAACCACGCAACACGGGGTACTTAGGAGAGTCTACCCACCTTTAGCGGGCCGAGGGCGCGCCCCCAAAAAACGCCCCGGCACTACTCGACGACCCCCCGCCGCCGCAGGCTGCGAGGTTGAGCGGAGAAAGAACGAATAGAGAAGAAACAAACATCCCTGCGTCAAGCGCACTGTCAAAGAGCACCTCGCGCAGGCGTTTCCACTGGCACGCGAAGTTCTGCGTGCAAACATGCGCGAGAGGCACACATCCCATTCAAATGCCACGTAGATCAAAACATGTGAGCGCGAAGCAACCCAAAACATGAATCCAAGAGCACGCATGTGATCGCGGTTGCAACAACAACTGATCAAAATGATGCGAAAGTAACGAAACAATCGCAGGGCGCGCCAGGCCCCAAAACCATTGTCATATACATATATATATATATACATATATACATACATATAAACAGACATGCATACATACACACATACATACATACATACGTACAAACAAACAAACATAAATACATACATGTGTGTATGTATGTATGTATATAAACTATGCATATCTATATATATATATATGTGTATATATCTATAAATAAACAAATAATAATATATATATATATATATATATATATATATATATATTATATATATGTATTGGAAAAATATATATATAAAAACAAAAAAAAAAAAAAAAAAAAAAAAAAAAAAAAAAAAAAAAAAAAAAAAAAAAAAAAAAAAAAAAAAAAAAAAAACGCGTGGCAACCAAACGCCCACGAAGAGTAGGAATACATGCTTGATCAACGTTGACCGAAAAATGCGTCTTGGGAAGTACGCCTAACATATGCCGGACCGACAGGCAACCGACATCCCGCGAAAATGAAGCCGAAGACATGATACAATGTTCAAAAGATACCAAAATTTGCAGCGGGCGACCTGCCCGGGTGCGCTTTTGCCCTCGACGCCATCAAACAAGGATGCAGAGTCGCAGCACCTGCCCGTGACGCTGTAACAAATGTCATCACAACAAGCATGCAAATGTCAATCATTTCCCAGGCACGTGGCTGCATCTGCCATGTCATTTATCTCGTAGACAGATGTGGCCACATGTACCCGCGATCCCTTGCGCGATCCCCAAGAATGTCAAATTCTGAAGTGGTGCGCGCAGTGATATTAGCATCCCAAATGTATTCACAATCAATATCGCCAGTGTAGATCCACTCCTTCTACGACAATTAGCAGGACGCGTTGTCGCGGCAATGCTCGAGGTTGTAGCGCCGCCATGCCTCCGGGATCGTCCTGCGAGTACCGCTCCGATCACGCTTGCTGGTCATGCGCTGCAAGCCACGCGGCCGGCGCGGCGGCGCAGTGGGCCCCCGCGCGCCCGCCGAGATCGGCGCGGCAGCAGCTGCGGCCCCGCCGCTCCAGTCTGCGCCGCCAGGGGCAGGGCTGCTAGATGACGCCGCGCCCGAGCAGGAAGCAGCGCCCATGGCAGGCCCATCGCGGCGCGGCGGCGGAGGCGCGGGCGGCGGGTCAGAGCGGGGGTCAGTGACAGGACCTTGACAGAATCGATCCCCTCGCCGAAGGCTTTACACCCCTTGGTATTCGCAGCACTGCCATGCCTCGCTCTAAGCTGCGCCAAGGCCACGCGGTCCTGACCCGCCTCGCCCCCTTTCGGAATGAAAAAATCAATTGCCCCTTAGAAATGCGCTCAGCACGAGACATCGCGCCAAGTGCTGCGACTTCACGCCCAGCCCAGCCATTAACCTCATTCTCCGCATGCAGGTGCATGGCCCACTGCATGTCTTCGAGCACGCATGGTCGCTGGCCCTGCACGATGCGATCACGCGTCATGCGCCGCCAGAAGTCAGGACACTCCTGGATGCGCCGTGCTGAATTCCGGCACGGATGGCACGCGACTGCCGGCTCATCTTCTCCATCGACAGGAGCGTCTGCCATGCGGCACTGACGCGCCGTTGGGCAGCCGCCAGCAACCCATTCGTCGCGCCTCCTCAATGGCGCTCCAGGCAAGCTTCCTGAGGCTGATTTGTTCGCAGTGAGCCGTCGGATCTCTGTCCAGAGAATATAATTCTGACGTCTGCGCGCACTAGGCAGCGCGCAACGTTCTCACCCAGGCCTTCGCGGATCCGATTACTGACGCTTGCGATAAACCCAACTTCTCTATCACCCGCCTCGCCGACCTGGAGAGCGTTCGCGCGCATCTTGCAGGCATGCTCGTCGGAGCTGGCAGGGATGTTGCGGAAGCATCTCTGCCACTACTGCTTTTCCGCATGAATCTCAGGCGCCCCGGCCCGGGCGAGTGTCTCGATCTGCTCGCGGGCGTTGCCGCCGGCACTCAACTCGCGACCAAGATCGCGGAGGGCCTGATCAGGGATCGCCGCCCCAACTGAAGAACGCGGAGCTGCTCGGCGGGCGCCGCGGAGAGGCGGCAGCCGGGAGCATCCGCATGATGAGCCACATTTCTGCGCGGCACGTCGACGCGGGGCGGAACTCGGCCAGCCACCAGCACCCCGAGGGCTGGAGCAAGCGCCAAGATCCTGTCAGAAAGACCGGGGTCGCCGAACATGAGGTCGATCGCGTCGCGCAGCTGTTTCTGATGCTGCTGCAGCTGCCTCGGCGCGAGGCTGAGGCGTTTATCGGCGCGATCAGCAGACAGCTTGGCCCATTCCCTGGACCGCTTCCTGTCCTGGGCAATCCGTCTTTGCGCGACGCCCGCGCCGCCCCGCAGCCGCCGCCCGCGCTCGCGCCCAGCCGCCATCGCCCCGAATCGGAAGAAAGCCGCGCGCGCGGGCCAGCCTGGGCCAAAATGGCCTGAGCCAATATGGCTACGGATCCGTGCGAGCCAGATCGAATTGGCAATTGGGGCGTCGCGACCCCCCCGCACAATCGATAGACCGCCCCCAAAACATGTTCTTGAAAACCCGATGCTTCCCGGCCAGGACACTCGGAGTAGACGACCGGGAAGTCCCGAACAAAGAACGCGCATTCCAAGATGAGATCTTGAACCCCCCTCAAAACTCGAAAGGCCGTTCAAGGACACCCCCTGGGATCCCAGGAGAGCTAGAAGAAGAAGAGCTAAAAATAAACGAAAAGGAACTCTCTGAATCCTTGCTATCCGCACTGTCGATGCTCGACGCATCTGGAGACGTGTCTACGCCCCCCCCCCCCCCCCCCCCCAGCTCCAGACATGCGCCCCTCAAGCAGACTCTGGCTGCCTGCCCCACTCGGCCCAGCGAACCACAACTGATAAATGTTCGATTGCATGCTGTTCACGACGGCGGCAGCCATCTCATCTGCCTTCTCCTTTCCGGTCTTACAGCAGAGCAACGCGTCGCAGTCGGGTTCGACAGCCCACTGGTCGCGAGCATGCGTCTTCAGCGCGAAAAGATTATTGACCGTATCCTCGACGGTCAGCAAACTGCACCCAAGCTTTCAATTCTGAGCATCAGGTGCGTTGACACGCCAACGGCCCTTGCACATCTGCCACAACTGACCCACGATGCGACGTTTGCACGAACAGCCGTCGGTGCGTCAAATCGCGCGCGCAGCGGAACAGTAACGTCCTGGCGCTTGTCGGACAACTGGAAGCCGATTGATCGAGTCTGCTCGTCGGCCCACTTGCCGGAGTCCTCAGAGTTGAACGCGAAGGCGAAGTTCTTCGTCTGAGTGTAGCATATCGTTTGTAAGCTGATGTTGTAGGCATGCGGAATGTGATGCTCGACGTCAACAGATGTCAACAGCATATTGCTCAAGGGCGCCTTTCAGCAGAGGTCTGGGACAACCAGCAACCCATACTTTCTTCCTGTCATCAGCAAGCGAGCCTTCATTACGCGCGTGCGGAGCTCCTCCCCCCCCCCAAACACACACAGCGGCGGCTGATGCCGAAAAAGCGGGCGAACGGCGGCTGCTGAGAGCAACCCATTCGCTCTCTGCCTTCTCGAAGCGGCCCTTCAAGATCTCGGCGAGCTGGTTCTCGTCTATCTGGGCCAGCTCGACTGACTGCTCGTGGGCGGAGTGGACAATGTTCCGATCAGTGTCATCGATTCGCTTCCCCTGCGCTGCAGCTCTTGCCTCCGTCTGATTCATGTCGTTCCTCACTGTCTGCTCAAGTTGATGAGCGTCTTTGTGGTCGTGTCAATGTTCGCCAGGAGGGCCTTCATCCACGAGGGTGGCTGACCATCACATCCTCAATTGGATCTCGACCACGAGCCGCTAGCTTCCTCATGGTCAAAGTACATCCTGTGATGGTGGCGACGATTTCCACGACGATCTCTACGCAATTCAGGACTTGGCGTACGGCTTTCATCCATGTCGTCCGTGACACCGCGACTCCAACGGAAATGATCGGATCGCTGGCCGCGAGTCCCCATCACCGCGGAGACGGCTGGAGAGGCTGGAGTGTGTCGAGTGATTGCGAAAATCGATTAAAAGCGGGAGCATCACCCCGCAGTAAAAGGCTTGGAACATTTGCCGCTCTGAACAGCTCTGCCCGCTGCGGACCAGCGGTATCCGTGCTCTGCCACGGGCAAACGGGCATCTTGAGCCCAAATGGCTCGAGTCAGAATGGCTACGGAAGCAGAGGGAGGAGGAGGAGAACGAGAAGAAGAAGAGGGAGGGAAGGGGAGGGGGAGGGGGAGGGGGAGGAGGAGGAGGAGGAGGAGGAGGAGGAGGAGGAGGAGGAGGAGGAGGCGGAGGAGGAGGAAGAGGAGGAGGTGGAGAAGGAGGAGGATAAAGAGGAGGGGGGCGAGGAGGAGGAAGAGGAGGAGGAGGAGGAGGAGGAAAGGGGAAGGGAAGGAGGAGGAGGAGGAGGAGGAGGAGGAGGAGGAGGAGGAGGAGGAGGAGGAGGAGGAGGGGAGGGGGGACGGAGGAGGGTAGGAGGGACGAAGGTCGGTGGGACGAGGAAGAGAAGCTCTCGTAGGGCAGGTTCGCCCCTGGAAGGAAAGAGCACGGACGCAAAGGCGTGGCGATCCTGCGGGCCGCCGAGGCCAGCGTGGGCCGCCGGGCTGCCCGGCGGGATGTCCATAACCTCGCAGCGGGGGGCCAGGGCGCCGCAGCAGATTCACGCCGTGATAACTTGGGCCGCGCCGCGGAAGTAAACGAAAAGTTTTCCGGCGTGTTCGTCGGTTCCCCGAGGTCTTCCAGCCTCGGCATGCTTTCCAGCTACTGCGCCTCGCCGAAAGCATTCCAAGGGTGCCGGAATCTTCCCGATGTGCTGCCTGAGACCCGAGGTATGACCCGAAAACCACACTGCGCGGCGCGACGAGGGGGGAAGTGAGAGGGGGCGGGCCTTCTCAGAAGGCGGCGGGGCTTCGCAGAAACCCTCTGGTATTCTGACAGCCCTCTGTGGGAGAAGGCCTCGAAAGCTTCACGGAAGGCCAGAAGCTTTGTGCGCCCTCTGAAAATGCCGCACCCTCTCATTTCCCCCCTGGGCGTGCCGCTGGTTAACGTCGCGATGACGTGGACGCTGGTTTCTTCAACCAACCTCGAGCTGATCCCTACCCCAAAACCTGACTAGCCCAAAGGCGATGACAATCTCCGTGATGCGCCTTCAGAGGCTGAAGTAATTCTTACTTGAGATCAACATCGAGATGAAGTGATGCCATCCATACGGAGAGGGATATGCATCAAGCTGGCAGCTCTGACACCGCGTGGATCGTCAAGCCTGAAACGATCGCGGCTTTCCGATATGAGGCGCGAACCTGTCGTGCGCGCACCGCCTGGCCCGTCCCCCCCCTCACTCGGACGTGGTAAGGCTTCGGGCTGCGCACAGACAGCCCCCCCAGGTAGTCCCGGCTGGCCTCAACAGGACCCACGAGTGGCCCCAGCTGGCCTCAAACTCTCAACACGCCAACCCGGCGGCGCCTGGGTGTCGAGACCGCCCCAGACAACCCGGGGGGGCTGTTGAGGCCAGCTGGGCCACTCGGGGGGACTGTTGAGGCCAGCCGGGGCTACCCGGGGGAGCTATCTGCGCTCAACCCAAAGTCTTTCCACTCGGCCGCCGCCAGAAAGATCGCGACGGAAGATGTTTGAGAACTCCAGCTGCACGGCAGAGTGACTCTAGGCAAGAGTGACCTTTGGTGCGCGGCACCACGTGGCCACAGTAGAAGCCATATCCCAGCAGTCCAAGCGTCACCCTGTGCTGGCGGGACCCCTTTGGGCCCGCACCAAATCCCGCTCCGGCAAAGCGCCACTTTTACGCGTAGCCGAAAGATTCCGGGGGCCAGTCCTCCGAGGATCCGGGCTGCGAGAAAACCACGACGTCGTGCGATCGGGGTCGCGAACTGCGGAAGGTGCGGGCACCGCCTGCCTCTTCCTCCTCTTCCCCCTCCTAAGAGGATCGGGGGCCGAGGTTTCCCCCCCTCCACTCCTCCTCTTCCTTTTCCTGAATCCACTTTCCTGATAAGTACTTCCTCCCTGTCGCACCCAAGACGTGTTGGTAGGGCGGGCCAGGCGTTTCGCTTGAGACGTATGTACGAACCTAAGCTGCAAATGTGCAACGTCTTCAAGGATGAAGGGCGGGCCATTTTCAAAATTGAGCTATTGCGGTAGCGCCGCGCGCATTCGTTTTTTATTGTGTGGCATACGGTTCACGGGTTGAGGGCGAATCAGTTTCAAAACTTGGTTCTCGCCGTCGCGCCGCGCACATTCGTTTTGTTAAATGCTGTCACTGTTTTCAAGGATGGTTGACGACAACTGCTCAAAATGTGATTTCGCCTTAGCGCCGCGTACATGTGTGTTGTTACATGATTCAACAGCGTTAAGGATGGGTGGCGGTTGCTGTTCATAATGCGGCTCTCGCCTCAGCGCAGCGCACACTCGTTCTGTTCAATACTACAAAACCTTCAACCAATTGAGGAGGGCTCTGTTTCAAAATGTGGTTCCCGTCTCAACGCCCCGCACCGTCGTTGCTTAAACGCTGCAACAGCTTCAAGGATGGAGGAGGGCCGTTTTCAAAGTGGTGCTCTCGCCTTAGCGACGCGCACACGCGGTCGTTTTCAAAATGCGTTTCTCGCCCTAGCGCCACGCACATGCGTCTCACAAGCTCGCCTCGGTTACACCGATGGAGAAGATGTCGTTTTCAAAATGGGTGTCCCGCCTGGGAGGCGTGAGCATTTCTCAAAAAAAATGGAGGACGGAGGACGGTTAGAAGGATGGAGGATGGCTCTTTCTCCAAATGGGGCTATCGCTTGAAGCTTCCTGTTGCCTTCAACGACTCGAGACTGCACTGCACGGATCGAGGGCTGACTTTTTTTCAAAATGGGGTTCTTGCTTGAGGCTCCCTCCAAGATCGTGACCACGAGAGTTAGCATGCGCAACCATTGCATCGATGAGGGGGCGGTCCTGTTTGGAAGGGGGGGTATCGCTGGACACCTCGTTGAACTGTACGATCACAGTCTCTTGCATTCCTGATTCTGCGCCAGGAGGATGCAAGGCAGTCTCTGTCACAAACGAGACCCTCGCCGAAGTAGCAGGACCATCGGTTGCTGTCTTTTTAAAGAGGGCGGGGCGCGTCAGAGCTTGCAGGGACGCATGCGGAGGAGATGCGGGACGAAAGGGTGTATTGCAACATCGTTAATGCAGCTTGGGTTGGCTCCCCCCTCCTCCTCCTCCTCCTCCTCCTCCTCCTCCTCCTCCTCCTCCTCCTCCTCTTCCTCCTCTTCCTCCTCCTCCTCCTCCTCCTCCTCCTCCTCCTCCTCCTCCTCCTCCTCCTCCTCCTCCTCCTCCTCCTCCTCCTCCTCCCCTCCCCTCCTCCTCCTCCTCCTCCTCTTCCTTCCTCCTCCTCCTCCCTCCTCCTCCTCCTCCTCCTCCTCCTCCTCCTCCTCCTCCTCCTCCTCCTCCTCCTCCTCCTCCTCCTCCTCCTCCTCCTCCCTCCTCCTCCCTCCTCCTCCTCCTCCTCCTCCTCCTCCTCCTCCTCCTCCTCCTCCTCCTCCTCCTACCTCCTCCTCCTCCTCCTCCTCCTCCTCCTCCTCCTCCTCCTCCTCCCCTCCTCCTCCTCCTCCCTCCTCCTCCTCCTCCTCCTCCTCCTCCTCCTCCTCCTCCTCCTCCTCCTCCTCTCTCCTCCCCTCCTCCTCCTCCTCCTCCTCCTCCTCCTCCTCCTCCTCCTCCTCCTCCTCCTCCTCCTCCTCCTCCTCCTCCTCCTCCTCCTCCTCCTCCTCCTCCTCCTCCTCCTCCTCCTCCTCCTCCTCCTCCTCCTCCTCCTCCTCCTCCTCCTCCTCCTCCTCCTCCTCCTCCTCCTCCTCCTCCTCCTCCTCCTCCTCTTCCTCCTCCTCGCAACTTCCCTGAGGCATGCCATTTGTCACCGAGATCACCTCTAGAGCACGGTGGCGGCCAGCGAACGAGCTTGATACTCGCTGACAGGCTGCAGAGAGTGTCTCTCGGCGTTGATGGCGTCAAACAGGAGAGCAGCAGCAGCTGGAACGCGCATACATTGGACGGTGGAATCATAGGACCTAGGCGGACAATGCCCTGACTCTGGATACGCCGCACCTCCTAAGCGATTTCGAAATTAGGGCGGAGATGTCCGCCCTAATTTCCCAGCTTCTTTGACGTCGATGTCCGCCCTATTCTGCCGTCGCTGTTTCCGCCATACCCTGCAATACCTTTGCGGCGGACTGTTCCGCCCCATTGTTTCGCATCGTTTGGGGTGCATGCCCGATATAAAATCAAATCGGACAACCAACCAAACTAGGCCGGATCCAACGTCAGGGTGGGTCAGCCAGAAGTGGACATGCATCACCTACTCCTGTCCCTCGCCCTTCATCTTCTGAGCCCCACCTCACCCCCAGAACAACCAGCGCTGAGTGAGTCATCGTCGGCGTCGCCGTCGCCGTCGTCGTCGGCGTCCGCGGCGTCTTCGTCGTCCTGATCCTCCCACCCCTCCTCCTCCTCCTCCTCCTCCTCCTCCTCCTCTTCCTCCTCCTCCTCCTCCTCCTCCTCCTCCTCCTCCTCCTCCCCTCCTCCTCCTCCTCCTCCTCCTCCCCCTCCTCCTTTCCGTAGCCATTTTGGCTCAAGACTAATGTGTTGGCGGGCTAAGCCCGCATTGGCAAGACTGGATACCGCTAGTCCGCGGCAGCTTTCAATATTTTCACTTTCCGACAATTGGTCCGCCCCAGCTGTTCGGCTGCCTCCTGCGGCCCCGCAGGTGAGCAGGTTCTCTCTCAAGACGACGAATCGATGGGGCCTCGGGAGCAGAATGCGAGCAAGTGGTTATGCAAGAGTTGCATAAAAAAGGAGAGGAAACAAAAAAAAAAAAAAACAAAAAAAACAAAAAAAAAAAAAAAAAACGCACGGGCAAGCAGTGGTGGAGCATGGCGCATGCGAAGAGGTGTGTGCTGTGTGGTCTGGCGAAAGGAGTCACGTTCGGCGGGAATGTGCAGCCGCTGGAGCCTTCACTCCGCGCCAAGCCACCTGAGGCCCCATGGAGGATCCAGGCTCAGCAGGCTGACGCCGCTGGGCAAAGCAAGATTCGGGAGCTGGAAGCGAGGATCCGAGTGTTGCAGGCAGAGGTCAAAAGGAGCGCTCCCCAGACTGGGGACGCCATGCTGGTCGATGACGGCAAGGACGACGAGGCGGACATGCGCAAGAGGCTCAAGGAGATTGGGGAGCAGGTGGCGTTCGTGTCCAAGTACAGCTGGGACTCGAAGGCGAGTGCGTACGTGGGAACTCTGCGGGAGGAGAAGGAGCGGCTGCATGCCAAGTTGCAGGAGTCGCGCCCCATGCATGCCAAGCTGCAGACGATGTCGAATCGGCTCAAGTCGGCGGAGAAAAGGGCCGATGCTTCTCGCGAGCTCGTGGCGGCAAGGCAGCAGCAGCGTAAGGAGGTCCAAGAGAGCCTGGTGCTGGCCCAGCAGGACCTCGAGGAGCAGGAGAAGGAAGTGGTTGCTCTCAGCGCGCAGGCGCAGGAGCTTACGAAGCGGGCCCCGTTCGCTCCTGAGGAGGCCGCGTTGCAGGAGAAGGGCAAGGGCATGCGTGTCGACGTGGACGCCTTGGGCAAGATGCTTCAGGCGCTGGGGCTTGCAGCCGAGC